TTTATGTAGCAAATATTTCTCTTTTCTCTCATATTCTGTGCAATACTTTTTAAGCCTCTTCATTGTGACACTTTGAGATTTACATTGTTTTATAATCATCAGTGTTATAGCTTAACATCATTCTTTTTTAACTTACCATATGTTTTAACAGAAAAAAAAAATCTAATATATGTAAGAGATTAATTCATTTATATTATCTTTTTGGCTATCTTTAATCTTCATGCCTGAAAAAAAAAAAGAAATAAAACGTTGTCAAAACAACCGTTATTCCCTTAACACTGCTATCACTTTTGACTCTCTAGGCAATGTTTATTATTTTTAAAAAGCGATGATTAGAATTTTAATGAAACTAAAACATAGGAAAGTGAACTTGTATATTTTCTTTGTTCTTGAGAGTTTACAACAAAAATATTAAACTATTTATTAGATTACTTATTTACAAAAATAATTTTATATTTACAAAATTATAAAAATATGTGAACCAACTATAATGAAATATTTATTTACCCTTTTATGAAGAAATAAATATGAAAATAATTTTTTTATTGATGAATTTATAAAAATGTCTGTTAACAAGAAAATTTAAATAAACACATAACGAGTAACTGTAATTATAAATTTTGAAAAATTAATTTTCTAGACATTTCTTTCATTTGCTTTCACCATGTAAATTCAGTTAAATAGATTGAGAGCATCCTCTTACATATTTCGATAATTTTGTAATTTTTATAAATTTTTGAATAAAAAAATTTCTTTTCAAATTTGTTTTTGTTTTATAAAATGTTGAATAATAAATCTTTATAAAAAGTAAATAATAAATATCGCATTGTACTTGGTTCATATGTTTTTATAATCTTGTAAATAAACAATGCAGATAGAATCAAAAGTGTATACAGTAATAGCAGTGTCAAGGGAATAGCTGTCCTTTTGACACATCGTTTTTTCTTTTCAGGCATGAAGATATTTCCATTTTTTTTCTTCTAAAATATTAAATTTTCTTTTCATTATATATATTTTCATTATATTCATCAAATCCTGTCTTTAAAAGATCCCTATTCAGTTTGTGATAGCAACAAATTTTGTCATATAATTGTATTGAATTATATCTTGTTTGCCATTAGTATTTCTTGTTTCAACAAAAGAATTTGTGAGTTTGCATTATTTAAGACCTTGAATGCATCCAAGAAATTCACCTTTTGTTAGGTTTAATAATAATACCATTGACCTCGATCATACTAGCAGGGTTCAATCATAACTGATTTTATTTCTCTTCTTAATTGAAATGCAAGTCTTCCTTCAAGCCATATTCCTTTGCTACTTTATATTTGGTTCTTTTGCTCATTCTATATTGGCTCATCAATTGTTTCGTGATTTGTGTTGCATGTTCACTAAGAAAGCAATTCCCTCTTTTTCATTTTTATTCCTGCTTCATCCTATATTGTCTCTGCTTGATGTGTTCAGCTTCAATCACAAAAGTGTTGTCTGCACAATTTTTATTTTTATACAAATTTGCCTTGATTTGGTTGGAGTGTGAACAATTTTATATGCTTGTGTTTGATGGGAAAAAAGCTAGTCTTTAAAGGGAATCAACTAGATTAATGCTCTACATTTAGACCTTTTTTTTTTATACTTTTTTGTGTGTTATTCTTATAGATGCATGCTACAGTTTGAAAATGATCATATTATTTAACTCACTTATTTAGCCTTTGATTGACATCAATTCAAAAGTATGCTATTTGATGAACTGAATAAAGTAATTGTCTCCCCAGGGCATTAACATCTGCTTTATATTGGGATCATCAATACTGAGCCATTGTAACAAGCTAAAATCATTGAAAATCTGTTGAAAACATTAGTTATAAAATCCAAAAATATGTTACTTAGAATAAACACTTAAGATTGGAAATAATTTGTCTGTTTATTGTCTATGTATTTTATAACCAATTTTATTGATACACTCAAGCGACAAAAGCGGCTCAATTACTAATAGGACAAATATAGAAATTTCACCAAACATCAGCAGAAAGTTTCAGGAACTTTGATAGCCAACTTTGGTGTAAGTCAACAATTCATAAAAACCTACTGTTTTTTTATTGTGTACAGTTCAAGTAGATCTTTTTGAAGTACTAATACCTTTGCAATTGCTTTTTTCCTTCTTTTACTTGAATTTCACACACACACACACACACACACACACACTACTTTGTTTATTTACAATGAGCAGCTCCATAACATCACTTGAGGAATCTTCAATATATATTTATTGTCCAACAAACATTATTCCTTATTCCATCTTCCAACAATTTTTCCAACATATATTAAAAGTTTTTGCTATTAATATTTTCTCTAATGTATTTTATTAATTTTTGACTGTCATATTGGTTATTTTATTTTTTTGCATAATACCTTTTTTTGATCTAAACATCAGATTTTAGCAGAAGAACAAATGCATAAACTGATATATACGTTCATACTTTTACTTAGTATTTCAAATAAAATAGCCCTTTTCTAAATGCAACTAAATTGTTTTTGTTCTTTCTATGGATCATATTGGCTTGGATTGCCGTTTACAATCTGAATACATTCAAATTAATTGAACAAATTAACAGAATTGATTGGTGCTAGGAAGCTTTTTATGAAGCTTTTTATCTCCAGAATTAATTAATCCACCTCTTTTCCCCTCCCAACTATGGGTTAATTAGTAGGTTTTGTATCAGTGAATTATTATGTCCACAAAATTCTTACACTCTAAAAATATTTTCTAGCAAAAGGTTGATAAGTCATAAAAAACAAACAAACCGATCAATCCTGGCAACAATTTAAACTGACACCTTTCTTTCCATCATACTGTGACAACTTTGTTTAAAATTAATATTTTCTTGATTTCAAAGAAAACTTAGAAATTTTCCAACATATTTTAGTGAAATTTTAACATTCCAAAATTATAGATTATAATTATAATTTAGAAATATGAAAAAAAAGGTGGGAGATTAAACTGATGCCAGGAGGGTATAGGTTAAACTTATGTATATCAATTTCATGTTAAAAATTTTATGCTAAGGTCTAAGAGACCATTCGTATGACATATACAATGCAAGTAAACTATGGAAGCAGGTTAATGCTAAAAAAAAACTCAGTTTCTAAGTGCAATAGTAGATATGCTTAAAGTTTGATTGAATAGGAATTTATGTATTGAGGGCAACACTGATAAAGTTTGTAAGGTTCTTATAAATAAGCTGTCAAGAAAGAGAAATATACTTTGCAATATCATCTATATAATTTTATTCTGAGATATTAAAATAAATTGGTAGTCAAATGAAGATTTCCAGCAGAGACATAATGCATATTAAAACTAATTTTTACTCAGGGATTTAATTGCCAAAAACAGTGAATTTAATTGTAAGTTAATCCGCTTTAAGTGTCATATCCTTTCAGAACATAAGGTCATGGCTCTCCACAACTTATTTTCTTTTTTTTCTTAGATATCTATTTGTTTATTGCCATGATTGTTCTTAGTAAAGATAGTGGAATGGTTTGTTGCTTTCTCCATGATTTTGAATTCAGTGTTATTTTATTCTTAGACAAGCTTCCAACCAAGGCTAGAGAACTTTGTTTGCTCTGCCGTAGGCTGTGTAAGAAAAGGAAATTAATATGAAGTGGACACAAACTACCTTAACCAGAATTTGATCTCAATTTGCTGATTCCATTTTCTACACTCTTAACTCTTAGTCTGACCACATTTCCATAATTGTAACATAGACATCTTCATTAAAGAAAGCAAAAATAAAAAATAAAACAGTGAATAAATAAAATTAAAAGATTTTTCGATGAATCTTTTTTGATACAATTCAAATTCTTGATTTAAAAAAATTTTTCTGAATATTGCTATTGTTTTGAAAAATTTCTAATCTTAGTCAGTGTCAACAAAATTTATGTAAAACGAAATGTCTCAGAAATAGAAGGCAATTACTGGTATGATTCTTTTTAAATGCTGAATTAAGTTATTTTCTTTCAAAATTGAATCAGTTCTGGGCACTACTTAAGTTGACTGGTTTACTTGTAAAAAAAAAAAGGTAACATTTTTCTGGGTAGTAATTCTTATAGATTAGCCTTCATTAGAGCTTCCTCAAGCCATAACATTTGTCAGAATGTTAAAAAATATTGATTCTTTTTATCATTTTAGAAAGAAGGTCCTGTTTAGAATATAAGTACAGTGTAAAATCAATCCTTTACTTAAAGAGTTATCTGTACTTTATTTTTATTTACAAAGGTCAAGTTTGAAGCTTACTACTGATGCTGTCCTTTTTCCTAATTCATAGTCAACACAATTTCTAACATGACATTTATAAATAAAAATAAAGTACGGACAACTCTTTAAGAAGTTAGAGATCAATTCCACATTATTTATATTCTGAACAGGACTCCCTTTCTAAAATGAAAAAAAAAAAATCAATAAAGGAAGATCTAATGAAGGCTAATCTTCAAAAATTATTCCTCAGAAAAATGTTCCCTTTTTTTTTTTTTACAAGTCGACCAGTCAACTTAAGTAGAGCCCAGTTCTGTTTTTGGTTTTAAATTCAAATCTTGAGAAATAATTGTAAAATCTTTGTCTATACTTAAGGAGAAACATAAAGTAAATTTAACAAATTAAAATTAAAAACAGATTTTTGAAAATTAAACAAATACACATCATTATAGATTTATTAGTTTTATATATGAATGCAGTAAAGAATGAAGAATTCATTAAGTATAAATTTCTTAAATATTAGATCTGTGCAAAAGTTATTAGTTCTCTTTCTTGAAAACTAGGGATTGAATATACAACTGAAAACATTGTTTTTTTCTGAAGAATTTTGCATTCACCTGATAATTTGGGATAATCAGAATATAAGCTAAAAGGTTTGTTAATAATAAAAAGAAATCCCATGATTATAGTCCTTTATCTGCTATAGTAAAAGGATAGCAAGAGATATGCTAAAATTTTTTGTTGACTGTTGCAGTTCACCACCCAACCAAAGCTCCCATGCCAGCGTAGAAGCCCAAGCTGTCGGCACTAATATGGACAATGATGTCAAGTCAAAACCTCTGACTTCTGAAAGCAGGGGTCAGCATCACTCTGAAAGGAAAGCAAAACCCAAACTGAGCAAATCTGACCCTCAGGACACTAATTTGGATGCTGCCTCAAGTTCAGTATGAGACACTTGTGGTGGTGTCGAAAGTCAGAAAAGTGAACATTTTTAATGAAGAACATGATGAATGCAGATTTTTTTCTTGGCAGCAACAATGGCAGTGTTTTTTTTTTTTTTTTGGTTTTTTTAAAGTTTTTTTTTTAATAGCCAGCTCCTCTTCCTGCACTTCTTCCTCAGCCATGTTCTGGATGATGATGATGGTGGTGGTGGTGGTGGTGGCAGCGGTGGTCATGGTGGTGGCGATGGTGATCATGATGATGATGATGATGTTCATTTTTTCAACAGTTGTGTTGGCAGCGATTTCATTGTTGTTATTGTTATTGTGGGACAGCCTTGGCAACAGTGCTCGCATGCAAACACACATGCACACATTTTGCACAAATGCATGCACACACACATACTCACACACACACAGAGAAAACATTATCATCATCATCATCATCAGATTCAAAATTATTGCCAGAGTATTTCATTTGTATTTTGTTTGTTTTTTTTTTTTTTGTTTTTTTTTTAACACTTACCTCCTGTTTTGTTTATTTTCATCTTGGCATGATTTTCTCCCTGGCTAAAACTAACTTGTGCTTGATCAAAGTTCATTTTGGGTGGGGGAGAAAAAAATAATTAAAGAGAACAATACATTCTCTGACTGATTGCAACTACTGCGTGGATAAATATATGTATAGATATGTTCACACAAATCCAGGTGTACATATTAACATATGTATATAAATACTACAATTGTGGGAGACAAACATTTAAAAACATGCATTCGCACATACACATTCACACTCTGGCTTTTGCACTTATAAATCTTTCTGACTCAAATCTCCTTCTTTAATAAACCAGAAGGAATGACACATTACTGAACAGAGAAGAATAAATTGCTGAAACTTAATGGTGCTATGTATATAGCGATGAATGAATTGTTGTTGTAGGGTGAGAGTTGAATGTGTTTGATCAAATGGCTGATGGAAACTTCTTTGAATCTCGGCAGTGTAGGTTTGCTATATTTTTAATGGGTATTTTTCTCAGTGACATGGCAGGATATTTATTTTACAAAAAAGCAAAACAATTCTTGACACTAAATGGAGTGAAGAATAATCTTATAGCTATATCTCTATCAGCAATATTTTGGTGGTTTCATTTTATTTTTATTTTACTAATGAATCAGATAATGAAGTATATGCAATATTTTATGCAGATATGGTCTATTTAATAAAATACTGATAACTATACACGTATGCATAATTGAATTTGGAAATAAAAACTGAGTAAAATTTATGTTTCAAAGACTACATTTAAAAAGATATAATACCTCAGCTTATTTTTGTTTAAAGTAGGTTTCTACATTTTTTCTTGAATTACTTTTTTACTTTGATTCATATTTTAATATCATAATTGGAAGTGTTCTAGTTATTCTGAATTAGTTTAAACTAACAAAATAAACTATGAATTCTGTTGACTTTAAATTTTCATATATGTACAATATTGGAGTAGGAGCAGAAATGGAATAGCCTCGGAAGTAAACGTTAGAATTTTAACAACTTAATTATCTCCCTTACATTATTCAAGAATTACCTCCCTGGACTATTTCTTCTGTTTTTTGCGCTTTTTTTCTTTCTTTCTTTCTAACCAAAAATAAAGTTTTATAAAAAATAACCAAAAATAAAGTTTTTTTTTTTGTTTTTTTTTTTTTTTTAAAAAAAAACTTTATTTTTGGTTATTTTTATCTAATTTCACAAATTCCAAACTGACTTGACGACTTGCTCAATAAGTTCTTTGCTCTCAATTTCAAACTCGAAAATAAGAAATATATTTTGTTTGTTTACTTTTTAAAAGTTTTCACTCCTTCCTTTCCTGCCAATGTCTGATTCCGGTGGTTGCCATTTCATTTTTGATAAATCCTGTTAAAGAGATTCAGCGAGTCCATTCAGCTTTCCTATTATAACCTTGTAAATAAAACTTGCAGTCCCCACCACCTCTCTTTTTTTTCTTTTTTTTTTTTCCTTTTACTTTGAACCCTCCCCCCTCCACTCTTTCACTCAGTCCTACTTTCCATCTCTCTGTCATTTTTACCAACAACTGCGGATGTTTAAAAAGAAAAAAAAAAGGACAAAATAGAAGATATCAATCTTGTGTATATGCACGCACATTGAAGCATTCACGCACATGTTTACCAATGTTATGTACATAATAATAACAACAACAAATATCATTATTATTATTATTATTATCATTATTGTTAATATCAACTTTCACTAATAAATATCCTCAATCCTTTGCCTTCCTTTTCCTCCAAATATGGTGGAGATTAGTGGCCGTGGCAGCAGAGGCAGTTCCCTGTGCAGTTTGCACCTGACATACCCTGAAACACGCCTAATTACACATACATGTTTTACAAACACAAACTGGTATATTCATTTAACTCCTATGTATTTGACATTAAATACTATGTATGCCTAATAATATTTATGCACAGAATACAATTAAACAGTCCATTTTACATGCATATTGCACCTACAAACCTTCATTTAAAATTCACCATACTAATGCACCAAAAAATAAAACTCATTTAATCACTTAATAAAGTTTAAAAAAACGCTTCCAGTAAGCCTTTTACATAGAAAATGCAACCTTTTTCAGACATATTTATAGAAACACATGCAACATTTAATAAGAAGTTTAGATTGGAATAAATATTACCAGAAAAAGGTTTATGAATTGAATGTCTTTTTTAAAGTAAAAACAATATCAAAATTTTAGAGTTGAGAAAAGCTATTGCTTAAAACAAAAAAAAAGAACTTGAACTTTGCATTTCCATTGCATCAATCTCAGTTTAAATTTAGAAGAAAAATTGATGATGCAAGGAATTGGGAGGCATAATCTATGAAATAAAACATATCAGGAGTAATTTTTACTATTTTGATTTCTTTAAAATCATTCAAAATGAGTATTGTCGTGCATTAGGGATGACAATATCACTCAAAATCATATCCATGAATCTTGAAAAATATTTGCTTGAATAAAATTGAATGTTATGCACACAGCTTAATGCAGATCATATGTTTGTTTGTTTGTTTTTTTTCAAAAAAAGCTCAGTATACTTTGGATTAATGACGAAAAAAAACATTGTCAATAAAAAGAAAAAATGACAATTAAAATAGTGAATCATTGAAATTCAGCAATAACATCAAACAACAAAATTGCTTGAGCAGCCTTCAGATTTGAAACCTTTTTGCCTTTTTTACAAAGACATAAGAGGTTATTGTTTTTTTATATATATATATATATATATATATATATAAATTTAAAAAAATTTTTTTTTTTTACACTGGTCCTCAGTTTCCTGTCCCTTTTATCTACAATTATCCTTCTTTGAGCCAGCACTGACACAGAAGAATGTTTGAGTCAGAATACATTTATGATTGCTTCCCACATGTCTAGCCTACCCAAGCCTTCAACAAGAAGCTAACACATTTTGGACTGACACTTATTCTTCCATTTTTTAACAGCTCATATATTGTTGTTGTTGATGATGATGATGATGTTGTTCTTCTCTTTGTTGTTCTTGTTGTTGATAAAACACTGTTACCCATATTCTGCCTGGTTTAGGTGTCCACTTGCCTACTACTACTTTTATTATTACCACAATTATTACTACTACTATTACTATTACATGACAATTACATTGCTATATCTCCTCATTTGTAAAACTCATCATTTTTTGTACATCTCGAATTGGAAAGAATTCATCTTATTTTTGTGTCAAATTTTCTGTTTATTTTGGACAAATATGAAAACAAAAAAAAAAAAACAATGAATTTGCTTTCTTTTTTTTTCCCCCTTATTGTCTGAGCTGCCATGTGAAATTTGGTTAAGAGAGACTCGTACATTCCTGACGTAAGCAGATGGGTGTAATGGGGTGGTGAGCATGCTGTGGTTGATGAGAAAACTTTTTCACATTACTATCAATATTACAACTACTGCTATTATCTCGACTTACTTTTACTGCTACCACTACTAAACACATGATGTGGACTCTCCTGACAAAACTTTGTTTTTCTGGTGCTGTAAACATTGAGCTGCCATTAAATATTTTCCCTTGGTTTCATATTTTGATTTGTTTACTCCTGTAAATTTTAATCTAAAAATGATTACTGTTAACATTTAGATCAAACTGTTTTTATTTCTGTTTTTAACTTTAGGTTATTTTTATTGTTTTTTTTTTTTTTTTAACTGTTTTTGATGTTATTAAATTTTTATTTGAAATTTTTTGTTTTATTGTTATTTATACTCCATCTGTCCCATAATAGTTGTTATGTTCAGTATATGAGATATATATATGCAAATGTAACGACTCTTGTAGGACACAGGTAGTACTTTTTAAACATTTGCTGATAGCTTAATTTTAGCAAATGTCAATAAACAATAACTAAAGAATCTTTGCTCAACTAGAAGTCGGTATATTCATCTAGATAGTGGCCTTGTAAGCAGACTGTTGAGTATGTTTCCTTATTGAGACAAAAATGGAAAATCTTTGATTTCTGTACATAAATTGTTATTGCTTTGAAACTATAACATTTCATAATGACTTACCAGTTTTATATAAGATCTTTATAAAGCTATTTTAACATGGCATTTCCAAAGCAAATTAAAATCTTCACAATCCTATTCAGTTTCTGTTAATTTTTTATGGTAGACTAGAGCTTTTCTTTGCATTTTTATTAGTTTAGCAACAATCCTTTTTACATGTTTCTTAAATAAATACGAAGGGAAAGAACTTATCTCCTTCCAGTTCAATTTCAAATTTTATACTTATGAACTCTTATATAAACATTAATATTTCTTTATTTTTTTTTTTAAAGTTAAAAATCTTTTAACAAAATGTTGTTCCAGTTGATTAAAGAGTTTTTGTATTACTTAATAGCAAAAACCTCTCTTTTCATTTGACCATAAAACAAAGTTGATTCAAGAAAGTCCTCTCATTGTCAGTTTCAACTGGTGTGC